GAAAATTCATTTTATGTGCTTTTAAAAATTTCACACCGTCAAACAGTTGATAGTTAGGTTATGCGTTGCTGTTTCTATTTATTTTCATTCAGTGTAAGTCACTTCTCATTTATTTTCTACTCCTTTGGTGTAATGGGCTCTCAATCTCTTATGTGCCTAGGAATAATTTATGATTAGTCTGAAGCATACTGCTTGCTGTAAATTTATCTACGAAAATCATTTCTTTGTATCCATTGATTTCTATATTCTTAATTTACTTATTTTATCCTAGTCGATGGTTTCGCCTTTTTAATGATGGGGGCCTTGGTCTACAATCGCGTTGCAGATATCACTTTCTTTCCTTGCTGTAAGTTGCCCGAGGAACCTGAATCAAACCATCCAACGGAGACCGATGCTTTAGTAGTATCTTCAGCTTCGTTAAGTCAACCAGCTTATCCCGAAGCTCACACCAAATTGCCTGGAGAGATTACACCCTTGCTTACCTCCTCTTCAGTCTCCCAGCAGCAAATGATTTCCTATATTTGATGTTTTTTGTACTGTAATGTTTAATTAGCTTCTATCCAACACTACCAAGCCATTCAAATATTCATTTAACAGCCCTTTCAGCACTTTTTTCTCTTAATTCTTTCTATGCACAACTGGTAAGCCGGCCAAGCATTATGATATCTGTCCTGCCAATCATAGAGGCGATTACAAATTCTACCATATAAATTCCACCATCATTCCTCTCTCTTGACAGCAATATCTTTTTCCGGAACCAGACAGATGTTCGAGCAGCTCGATAGCCAGGCAACCAGCTACCTTATTGAGGACCGGCTTATCTAGTCAGCTAGCCTCTCAATAGATATGCCTCAATTTCGGCAGGCCATTCAAGCAGCTTACCATCTAGATACCCATTTTATCGCCAACTTATTTTTTCCACTTCTTCCTGCTTCCTATAAAATGCTCTATACTATCCTAAGCGCCTTTGGCAGGTCTTTAGTCTTCTCTTACTCATAAACCGTTCTAATTTTATGCGAATTAATGCTCTATTCATATTAAGTCTAAATTACTTTTCTATTCTTGTTAGTTACTCTTATTAATCTCATTTTTTCAACGCTTTTCAGCCTAGGCATATTTTTTCATAAGCATAATTTCACTCATTTTATGGCTCAGAATGAATTTAAATTTTACCACTCAACTTATTTTACTTATTTTTATGATTATAGTCCTGCTTTTGACATTTTTTATACATACATTTTCATATATATATATATATATATATATGAAAATATCCTTATGCATATACATATTCGTGCCATTTTAATGTATATTTATAGGCTTCAATTATTTTATATAGAAATATTTTTGTAGTGATTTTATTTCTTGTACTTAATCAAATTTTATCAATTTGCACTTTAATCAATTTTATTAAGTGTAAAGCTGGGGCCTACTTTTCATCGGCTTCTGCATCTATTTTTTTTAATGTCATATTTTCTCATTATAACGCATTAATTTCAAATTCGTTTTTTTACTTATCAATGTATTTGGTTGATCAACGATAAAATTATTTTTTTAATACGATTAGATAGATCTACTACTATATGCTATTAATCAATTTTAAAAGTAAATAAATAAACCATAGAGCATTTTAACCGAAGGTATGTAGACCCAGTTGGCGTGGCCTGTTGTATGGTTGCGTCTTTTTTCGTTTTATATAAGTTGTTTGACCTTATTTTCGCAAATGGGTCATATTGGTAGGAAGACATAGAGGAACGCACCTAGTCCGGAGTCCATTGTATGCATAATCATTTTCAGAGTCGGACCGTGGACGTGATACATTCCCTGACGTTTCGCCAGCATCGTCAGTGAGTCTTGCCATTTTCAGCACCACCCTACAACTCGCCAAAGAGATAAGTTAAGCCGATCCTTTGACCAATTGTCTGCTAAATTACCGTGGTATCTCTCCTTCCGCCTTGGCCTAATCACCAATCCTATATCCTCGTATCACGTCTTCACTATCTCTTTTTTGCTTATCTAAATGCCGTATGGTGTTCCTTTTAAGCGGATTTCACGAGAACTTTCTAAATCCCACACTGGTTTTCTCACCTCTCCTTATCATCCATTCTTGTGCTGAAAATGTGCATCAGAGTCTCTCTACTTTCTCGTAGGATCCGTTTTTATCTCCCTAGTTAACTATTTCACTCGGCCCATGCTACAGTATCTGTGCTGCTCGAGACGTTATTTCCCATACTTTGCCTCTGGGAGACTAACTTCAGGCTAAATAACT